GCACCATGGAGACGCCCTGAACCACAGGTACGAGGTCCTGGAGGGTCCTGGAAAGTCCTGGAGGGTCCTGGAAGGTCCTGGAGGGTCCTGGAGGGTCCTGGTGAACCGAGGCAAACCTCCATCCGTCAACCAGATGTTGGACTAGATTTTCTCTGTCCGTCATTTTTACTGATGGCGTCAAAAAGAATAGTTTCAAAATCAATTTTTACCTGTCAGTTCTTAAATAACATTTTTAATTGGACTGAATTCATTTTAATTTGGACTGAATTCATTTTAATTGGACTGAATTCATTTTAATTTGGACTGAATTCATTTTTAATTGGACTGAATTCATTTTAATTTGGACTGAATTCATTTTAATTGGACTGAATTCATTTTAATTTGGACTGAATTCATTTTTAATTGGACTGAATTCTCTTTCGGTTTAATTATTATTCAACAAGCTGAATGGAAAATCCACAACACGCCATCAAACATCAAGCAGATGAATTTATGTAACTTTTCCTCCACAGCGACTAACCTTCATATAAATATAAAATTAAATGCTATTAAACTTATTTATGAACATGAACTGTTCACCATCTGTCAGCTGTCTCAGGTTTTATATCGATCCGAGGCTGAACACTGGGATTAGAAGCGCCTCTTCAGCCACAGTTTGGAAATCAGGGAACATTTCTCCAACTGAAGCGATCAGAACGCCGGACAACAAAACGCATTTAGTTCAGAGTTCAGGTCAGACGATCAAATGGAAATTTATTATTTTTAAGTCTTTATTTAGTTGCTTCTCTCTGCATAAAGTCAAAAATGTGCGTCTGCACCATCAAGGTGAATTTAATCTGTCAAAGTGACGAGCAGAGCTGGTTAAGTGGCCCATGCATCCATCTTACAGGACAGAAACTCCTCCAGACGGACGATTAAAATGTTTTCATGAATATCCAGTTCAGAGGTCAGCAGACGTCTTCAGGTCTCTTCACCTGTCCATCCACATGGAGGCCTGTCGCCTCCTCACTGATCCTCCTGCTCAGACTACAGAAGGACGCCGTCCTCCTCCATCAATCAGCCAAGTTCTGCTTCTTTACGTCTCCTCCTGCTGTAACGAAGCGTTGCTAATAAAGTGATTGGGAGTCTGATTTACGGCATTGATCTGTACACAGAGCTGCCTGCCTCCATTGTTCCAGCAGCTTCTCCACGGCTGCAGGAGTCGGAGACGTGATGCTTCATACGTTATCGTTCCTCCACTGCTGCTCCACATGGAGACCAAATGGAGAGGATGTGGCGATGCATTCAGGGACCGTGCTGCTGCTTCAGTTTACACAACTCCAGCTGACATCAGAGCCCAAAACAGCAAATATTTTATCACCTCGATTTGCTTCAGTTTGATGCTTCGAAATCAGTCAGTAAAAAAATGGATGCTTTTATGGAGAGGATCTTATTTTCTACTTAATAAGCAGAAGATTAAAAAGGATGCAGTTCAGAGAACGCAGGCTGAAATCAGTGACGTCCTGAAGCCACATTTATCCAAAATTGCAGTTTGGAAGGCATCAGTAACACTATTGGTTGTTAAAAACAGTGTTTCAGATTTGTCAAAATTCATCGGATCGATTTAAAATGTCTGCTGACAAAAACATCTCAGACTTCTGATCTCCGTCTCGAGTTAAAAAATAAAAGTTCCTGACAAGCAGCTTTACAAAATAAAATGTCATGAATAAACCCGTCACTCCAGCTTTTCTACGACCGCAGAAATTCACGTAAAATCAGCAGAAATACCACGTTTTTCATGCTAATGCATAATTATGAATTTATTTTAAATTTTCCACCAAAATGATCAAAAACATCAGCTTTATGTGATGCTACCTCCTGCCTGCAGGGGGCACTGCGTCGTACTTCTACTGAAAAGCTGCCTCAGACTTCATTGGTGTCCAGTTTGTTGAGCTATTAAATCATTAAAGGAAAAAATTGGCGTCCCATAAATCTGTTATGTTTTTCTCTTCATCTTTTTTGTATATTTAGAGATTGTGGAAGAGGTTTAATCATAAAACAATATGACAAAATTCCTTCCAAATATTTATAAAGTAAAACCTCAAAATCAGTGATTTTAATTTTTTTTTTATTCTAGAGCAACTGATAAATGAGTAAATATATATAATAAAATAAACATTAATTAATAAATAAATAAATACATAAATGTAAACAAAAATATAATAAATACATGAGCTGTGATTGATTCCCCATTAGGAAATATTTATTTTATTTATAGGGTTATTTGTTCAATAGTAATCATATTTATTTAATATTGGATGAATTGGACCAACCAGATGTGGAGGAAGTCCTTTAAATAACCCGATCGTCAATAACTTCCTGAAACCTCTCAGCCAATCAGAGTGCAGCAGCCGCTGCCCTATAGATTCCTGTCCAACGTTTGTTACGGTCAGCCTGTTAATTAACGTCCTGCTGGTGTTCCCAGCATGCAAAGCGGCCCGACCCAGTGGGAGCGGGTCATTAAGGCCTCAGAACCGGACTGTTGGGCCGTCATCCTGTGAGGAAGCTCATCAGCTTATTACCTCGCCGGCTCGATACGGAGGAGAAGTCTGACATTTACTGCAGGAACGCTCATCAGACAGCCTAACGAGAGATTCATCCTCCAACAGAAACAAAGCAGCTCTGGTTACAGCAGCTTCCACTTCATTAAACCACTCAGTACCTCAGAAGAACTCATGTTTAAAGGTCCAACAGGCTTCAGGCTCGGATTTTTATCAGACTCCCTCTCTCCGCTCACAACCAGAACAGATGAGACGGCCCGTCCTCTGAGTTCTGGGTCTGCAGCGTCTCTTCTGGGTGAAACGCTTCCAGAAAAAAACCAAACGTGGATCGACTCTTTCTAACCACCTCTGATCTGGAGGTGGAGCCAGAAACCAGGGTTTGCTCACTAACTCCTCACCAACGTAGCTAAAACACCGAAAACATCCTGAGAAGGTCGTCAGACTTTACATCACAACAACAAAGTGTAGAGTAGTTTGGAAAACAAGAGACTATCAGATCTCAGAGCTAAAACAGTAAAAGCTTCAGGATTTTCAGTAAAAACAGGAGACATAACAGCCTCTGCATCACCTCCAGTCCTGAAGAGCATTTCCCATCAACCTACAGCTTCTGGTTTTAACACCTTGTTTCAAAGCAGCAACAACCTGTAACAAGCTGCTGCCACAAGGTGGCGGTAATGCAACAGAGCAGCTTTAAGGCAGCAGAAGAAGAAGACGAACTTCTGCTGCTGCCAGGAGAAGAAACCGAAGCAGTCACTGACTGACGCAGCCAAAAGAATTAAAATCCCACCATAATCTATTTTTAAAATAATAATAATGACACATTTGATAAAATAAACATGGTGCTGCAGTAGAGACTGGAAATAAATCAACTTCATGGATTAATCAACATTTTTGGACTTTGAATTCAGGTCAGTTCACAGAAGGTTGAAATAAAAGTCAGATTTTGAAACCGTTATCTTTCATTTGTAGCTCCTTTTTAAATAAAACTCAGTTCAAATCAGAAATCAAACTGGTTGGAAATATGTAGTGACTGGAATCCCACAAATTTACAAATGAACCGATTGCACTTCAATTATGTAATTCTACCACCGGTTTAAAAACGAGTCAGACAGAAAACATTGGTGCATCTGAAGCGACGCCCTACAAACGCCCACCAGGTGGGAATTTGATTTGACTGGGACATCAAGGCAAACAAAACAACAGGAAGTCAACAAACCGTAACACATCTGAGAGTAGGAAGAAGAAAATGCTCATTTAGTCCTACTCTGTATGTTAAGGACAATTTATAACTATTTACATGTAAAATGAAACAAATTCTTAGCAACAGAAACTATTGAGAGGAATCATGTCAAAGCATCTAAGGCAGGTGGATCTGGATCCATTTATTCCTCCTGAATCAGAGCCAAACAGACTTTTACATCTGATCCAGTTTCTGACCTCCTGCTGGGCAGCTTCATAAAAAGCAGAGAAGTCCTGACCTCTGACCTGTACATCTGCTGCAGGAGGAGAGGAGAAGCTGGATTTAGCAGCAGCTTGGCTGGAGAGCAGCCAGTCCTGGCAGATGGATCCAGATGAAGCGAGCGCTGCAGATCCTCCATCCACACCGTAATGAAAGCTGGAGCAGCTCCCCGTCACATCCAGTCTGCAGCTCAATAACACCAATAAACCCTCCAGAACTACAATTATGCTCCACAGAGGAAGAACCCAGCTGATGGTGTTGAGTTTTCCTCATCTAAGTGAACATTCAAACGCATCCAGCTCTGGCTGTAGGTATTGATCCAACTCACAGGGATTAATATGAAATAATCACAGCAGGAGGCAGGAAAAACACCAGAGTTCATCACCTCACTGAGGTGAAACCTCTGCTAACCGTTTGGTATTTAAATCACTCCAAGTTCAGCAGAGAAAACATCAGAAACAGCGAGTGGCTGAGACAGGAGTGGATGAAACATCAGGAAAATGTGAGGCAAACACTGCGTGTCTGGAAGAGCTCTGCTGGGCAGAAAGCAAAATTAAACCGTGTTCCTCAACACTGCAGGAATTATTAGCTTAAAATTTAATTGCAAAACTTAGAATTTCAGTTTGTGTCGTTCATATTTATGAATTAGTCCAACTGAGCTTTTAAACCTCAAGTTAGAGTGCTGGTTAGCTGGGTCTCCTTCAGAGCTTCACAAACAGTTTTCTGTTTGTTTCAGAAACGCCAGAATAAAGTCGTAACAATTTAAGAATAAAGTTGTAATGTTGGGAGAATGAAGTAGTAATTTTATGGGAACTGAGACTTGAAAAAGGATTAAAAATTAAAATGAGTAACATTGAGCATCTTGTGAAGTTTTACACCGACATCAGTTTACAAATAATATTTAATCTTTTAATTCATCAGCATCAGAACTTGGAGTCTGAATGAACCACAGGCTGATCGGATCACTGCAGCTTTTATCTCTTTTTCTCATAATCTGTCACTTTTGTTGCAATATTCTGTTTTTATTCTACTAATGTTATGACTTTATTCTCATAATCAAACAGAGGTGAGAGCAGCTGTTGATGTAAATAATCACACTGACTTTTATCCTCCATGTTTCTATGGAGGAACATGGCGGCTGACCGAACCTCACCTGGAGTCAACAGGTTGGAGGGAACCGGGCTGAACCTGCAGCCATCAACCTGTGGACACACACACACACACACACACACACACACACACACACACACACACACACACGCTGCATCAATACATGTTTACTGTCATGCAAAACGATTACAGATGAGGAAAACAAACTGACTGTGTGAGATATCATTAATCTTTAATCACCTCAGTAAAATCATCAAAGCACCAGCAGATCTGAAGGATTTTCTTTAAAGAATCAATGAAACGCTGAATATATTTAATCTTTTAATTCAAATTCCAGTCATATTCCTGAAGCAAACAGTTTTACAAAAGAGCTTTTTTCTTCTGAATCCAAACAGATCAGAACAAGCGTTGAGGTTTAAATGATCATTTCTAAAATGTCACGTTCTGACAGTTCTTACCTGCAGAACTCATCTCAAGGCTCCCTGTCAGCGGAAACAGAGGGAAACAGGTGGAGACGTTTCTCTGAAGTGAAATGCATCAATGATTGTGTTGACAGACGCGCTAAACATAGCCGCACGTCTCAGAGCCGTTCGTTTCCCTCTGCAGGAGGCGCCGTCTGCTCCGCCAGGAGCAGGAAGGACCGACGGCCGACTGAAGAGTCAGAAACTCATCAAACAGAGAGAGGAAGTCAGACTGACAGCGGCTGAGCGCTCATCTACTGGAGGTCTAAACTTACTGAGAGTCACACATTCAACCATCTATTTACCATCATTTAATGAAGGTTTTACTTCATTAAATGATGATAGTCTTCACAATGTTTAAGTTGGAGCCTCTATTCACCACAAATCTGGAGCAAACTTCCAGAAAACTGTAAAACAGCTGAAACACTGAGTTCCTTTAGGCTGAACCCTGCTGGTTACTGAACCACAATAAATGAAACACTGAAGTTTGATGATCTGTTACTGGTTCCTGATGCTTTTATCACTTTTATTTTTGTGTTTTGAAGATGTCAAGCACTTTGATCTGCCTTGCTGCTGAAACGCTCTATACAAATAAACTTTATTGATATTGACTGGTTAAAGTCGGAGCAACGAGGTTTTACTGCAGCTGGTCAAACTCATTCAGACGAGACTCATTAATATTTAACGCAGATCTTTATGTTTACCTTTAGTCCAGGAGTGATGACTGCTTCATTTAGAAACCAGAAACATAAAAAACATTTCTCCTTTCTGACATTTGATGAATGCCTGAACAATGAGAAAGAAGATTTTTAGATTATTTTACTTTCTCCAAAATAAGAAGCTCAAAATCATTATTTGTTAGAGTTGCCTTTGAACATTGTGTGAATCTAAAATGAGTTTTCTGTAATTCTGGCTCAGTGAGAACGGCTCAGGTTTGCAGAAGTCTGGTTTAAAAACACATTTCCAGATGTGAGGTCGGGTTTTGTGACGGCTGCTCCATCACGTTGGAACTGCATGTTCCACCTTCTCCATCTAAAACCCATTTGGACCCAAACTTCTACTTCCTGACTGACGTCTTTATTTGGTGCTTCCACGTTTCTGTCTCACATTCTGTGAAGGCACCGTGATGCTGCCGCAGTTCCTGGTGGATGTTCTCAGACCTGACAGTCATACGACCAAACGGTTCCACTTTGTTTCAGCAAACCAAACGTCTTTCCGTTTTCAGTCACATATTGTGGTTCTAATTTTAAACCCAGTCCTTACTGACGGCCCACCTGCTGTCAATAAATGATAAACATTTCAAAAGCATCAGAGTGTTTGTTAACTCATATGACTATAAAGTCTACATGATGATGGATTCATATGAGGAACAGATGCTGAGTTACCAGTTGCTATGGGGACTGAATCCTTTTTCCTGAACCAAACAGTTGCTGAGTGAAAACTGGAAGTCATGTGGGAAAAAATGTTCTGGATTCTTCTCCTGTAAAGTTTAACATCTGTCAGCAAAGATGGTGATTTTCAATAATACCAACTGTGAGGCAGCGGCCATTTTAAGTATTTAAACCGAAAAACCATTACAGGTTGGTGCTTTTTGAACACAAAACAATAAACATGGTTGAAACAAAAACAGAGGATAATGATTCATATGAACACCACTGGAGATAAAGCCTGGAACACATCTGCACTGAGACCAGCGGACATTGCTCACCTTTTGTTCATGACATCCGCCGCCATCTTGGTCCGTAAAAACTAATTTCTTCTTAGACTGAAAACCAGCCGTGCTCCACATGTATGGGCTCCATTTGACTCCCTGGGGTCTTCATGTCGGTCAGACTTTAGCCTCCAACGCTTTTGTAACCATTTCAGACTGTTTAACAGCTAAACTGAAGTAAACTGGAGCCATTACTGTAGCTGACGTCAGTTCGCCATGATGACTCAGCGAAATAAATGTCCCGGTTGTTTAAACTCGTTTCTTCCGATAAACCGGGACTGTTTCTATTCGCTCGCCATATTTCTCTGTTAATGTAACGTCTCTGCCTTGAACATTTGCTCATTGTTTACTTTATTTTACCGTCGCCATGATGCCGTGTTTAACACGGTTCCGGTGGGCGAGGTCACTTCTTCCGGGTTGGCTATTCCCGCCCTTACGTCGGCGCATGTGCTGTCGCCTAGCAACCGTCACAGCACTAAACTCAAGCTTTTAAAATGAAGCAAGCTAATTTTTTATGTTAATTTATGAATTAGATATATTTTTTTACAAATCCTTTGTGCTTTTGCTCAAAGACTGAAATTGATTCTAAATATAAGTTTTTGAACAACTATTGCTTTGTTATTATTGTTTATTTATAATTATTTACAGAGTTTGTAAGAAAATGTAATACTGCTTCCATGAATCTAATCACGTTAACAACATCTTTAGCATGAGGAATATGTTTCAACCAACATTTGTAGTATTTACTTGTGAATAGTATAAAGCACATAATGCATGACATGTTGCTGTATTCACAACAGAAGTATGAAGCTAATTAGCTTCACTCGTCCATCAGGAGACAAGACTGTTTTTATCCCCAGATTTTAATATACTTATATTTAAACCTGTACCCCTGTCCCAATTGTATCACTGCTAAGAATAAATCTCAATGTATCAACTGATACATCCCTACCTACACGCCAGATCAAATCTGCAAAAATCATCACATTTAAATTGTGATTATGTAAAAAACATGGAAGGAATCAAAGAAAGGTGAAGTCCAGCTTCTGTCAGACGTTTAAAGTATCACTCAGCTAATGGAGCAACGGGTTTGTTCACTGGCTTTGCAAAAATCCATGAAAAGTGTAACGGAAATGTTTTTACAGATTTCTTTTAGCAGATTTTTCAAACATTGTATGATGCATATCCATTAAATGTCTGTCCACATTATTTCTAATCAAGGAATAATTAGGAACAAAGGGAAAACCACATTAGTAGCGCATGATGTGACTTTTAGAAGCAAAGTGATTTGCAGTGGCATCCTCAGTATGTTAATGTCAAAATGTGAGGCATTCCCAAAGGATTTCCACTCCAACAGGAGGAAATGCACAGAATGTCACTAAGTGTACGTCCATGCATTTGCATTTTCACCATTAATTATGTGGAAGACAAAGTCTGGCCTGGATTTCTGTGTTTTCTAACCTTTGTTTCCACACCTGACCCAGAAAATGTCCCCTTTCCAGGCTGTGAACCGATCAGTTCTGGTCCGATGCCACGCCAAGCACCGCAGCTTTTTATGTAAATGCAGGCAGCCTTTTAAAGCCCCTTCATGTTTATGCAGGAAAGTATAAATTATGTATAAATTAAAAACATGATGTGTTAAGTTTAATAAAAATTTATTGGCAAGTGGCGGGTATGAGTGGGATAATACCCTCCAAGTTTGCTCTTATCCTGATTAAAATGGATTCCATGGAGGCGAGAAGCACTCAGTGTGAAACCATCCATTACGCCGGTGGGTTATTATCCTGCGTGTACACACAGGTTCTCGGTGTGTTTTCCATTAACCTCACAATTTATGGGCGCGCTTGTAACCCCGCTAACAGCAGACACAACAGCCGAGCCTGAAGACGTTCAGAGCGATGAGCGAAGATTAGATGGAGTCTTCAGCGGCCTGCTGGGGAATCAGACGGGTCACATTAAAAACCTCGACGGCCATCGACTGACCTGGCGTTCAGCCTGAGCCCCCAGCTCTAATTAAAGATAATTAAAAGTGTCTCCATGGCAACAGTGGAAAAACAAATATAGCATCTGTGGAGGAATGCTGCGCCGAAGAAAGAAGCTTCCAGTTCTGGTAGGAGAAACGATAATCCCATTTAATCCTGAGTTTCAGCATTCAGCCCTCATTTCTAAACGTTTTCAACCTGAGAGGCATTTTAAGGGTTTTTAACCGTATTTCTTATTTTCTGCTGCCTAGCTGACAGCAGCCATCAACACGCCAATCAAGTGTCTGTTCTTTGATTTCGGCTCCATTTACAGGGAAAGATATTTTATTAAATATGAAAACAGAAGCTCCCAGTTACGGTGTCCCTCAGGGCTCAGTTCTAGACCCGTTCTTATGTCTGTGGAAAGATGTTTGCAGTCAAACAGTCAAAAATTAACTATTTTAATTATTTTAGTATAATTCTAGTTATTGAGTCTGTCATAAGAAAAATGGGGGTTAATTTAATTTGTAAATGTCAGTTTAAACCAAAAATATGTAGAATTTAGTTACCAAGCTAAATATTTACCTTGTAAACTGCATTTTTAGGTTACAAACTAACATTTGGCTTCAACCTGGATGTTCATCTAACAAAACAATATTCAGTTTATGACTTAATGCCTTTTAGCTCCAAACTAAATATTAAGTTATCAAGCTAAAATTAGCTCCAAGTTGAATATAAAGTTAAATAATTAGTAATATTTAGTTGGTAGACAAAATCTTTAGCTAGCTCAGAGCTAAATATGTACCAACTAAATGGTGAACAAGCTAAATATTTAGCTCAGACCTAGATAAAGATTTAGTTTGTAAACTAAATCTGTAACTAATATTTAGTTTAAAATTAACTTTTAAAAATAAGTACAACACGATGAAAATATTATTTAGAAAATTAACCCCCAGTTTTTTTACAGACTAAAAAAGTGTATTTTTTACAGTGTAACTTTGAAACCGTCGCCCGTTGGCTCTGTGTTTGCTGCCCTTGTTTCCTCGGTTTAACCTTTCATTTCACTGCTTTGCAGATGACTTGCAGATTTATCTGCCTGTAAAAGCAGGACAGACTAATTTCCTTCTTGCCTTGAGATGATGAACAGCGAACGTCCTTAAACCTTTTAAAACTAATGGAAAACAAACTGAAAGCCATGATATTTACAGCTGGAACGTTTTTCCCTCATTGAGAAACAAGCGGTGAACTCCTGGAAAAGCTACATCAGTAACTTCAACCTTGAATTTCCCTCAGTTTTACTCACTGATACGATTATTTCTACAAAACTCACCATCCTCCTTTTTGAAATGCTAGAAAACAGCAGAGTAGATGCTGCAATGGGTTTTATTGCAAAGAGGATATTTTAAAAATAAAGAGTTTGCAGCTCAGAGATGTCCTTAATTTATATACTGTAACATAAACTAAAATCAGGCAAATGAGGCAGTTTTCTTTCTTTGATCCAGAAGGATTTTACACATTTTTATATTAAAAGAAAGTAATCAGATTTTGAAATTAGTTTAGGTTCAGCTGTGTTCAGAGTTTGGGTCACTTTCTTTCAAAACATTTTCTATTTTTAGCCAAGTTAAATAAATTAGTAAAGGTTGATCTGAATGAGGAAAGTCGACTTTTCAGTAAAAGAGCCTGAATAAACTTGGTCCAGATTATTAGAAAAACTTGATTATAGAAACACAAAACCCTTGTGTTGCACTCTGTGCTAATCAATAAGTTTAATGTGGTTAAAAATAAAAATATTTATAACAGCACCACCTCTCCAGCAGGTTTACCAACAATACCACAGAAGAAGAAGTAAAGAGGCGGAGTCACGCGGTTGTAACGATGATGTGGTTTCTAACGTGTTTACAGGAATGAGAATAATCTGAACAGCAAAAGACATTTTGTGTAATTAGAGCAAAACAAAAACACAAGCCGGTTCTGCTGGCGTCAGCAGAGCAGAAGTAAACGGTTATTTTAGGAGGAAACTTCCTGCCGGTTCGGAGCGTTTCCACTGCGGTGGCCTGAGGCCTGCTGGGATAAGCTCCGCCCCCCGCCGCCTTAATTGAACCGGCTGATTTCTCCCCCCAGCAGGTTCATCCAGGCGCAGAGAAACACCTGGGAAGCTAAAACGCTGCTCTGCTGCCTGAACAAGCTGTTTCTGTTTATAGGAATGGAAATGAGCGACTGGTTCAGGGAGGAGATTTTCCCTCCGATTTATTTCTCCAGTCGTGTGAAATTTGACCCTTTAAAATGAGTTTTATGTTCTTGGATCTGTGGCGTTAATTTTTATGCAGCAGCTGCTCTGACCTCTGAGAGCTTAAGCCTCCGTCTCTCAGAGTCTGTAATTACATTTGAAACTTCTTCCAGATTAACACACACACACACACACACACACACACACACCGAGCGTTTGCCCCGGGGAGCGGCCGGCCGACCCTCAACACCCTCTACGTTTGTCAAAGACAGCAATTATGATGGAGGGAAGATTAATGTTTAAAGTGGTTAGCACTGCTTCACATCCCACTGCAGGGATGGAGACGGAGGCTTCTGATTGGCTGAGCAGCCTCCAGCACTTTAACCTGACAGGTAAACAGATTCAGTCACCGTGGCAACAAAAAACAGCTGCTAACGCCTGTTAATGATAAAACTGAGGCTTCATTGTGTTGCTTTGTGTTACACAGCAACTAGTTACGTTTACGAGAGTAACTTTTTAAAAAACTTTACTTTTAGGAGTATTTTTACTATGCAGTACTTTTTACTTTTACTTGAGTAATTTTATCATAAAGTATTTCTTACTTTAGTAACACTTCTGGATTTTCAACCAACTGAATGAAAAACATGTTTTAACCAAAAACTGAGACTCAAACCTGCAGTTTCTGTTTTCATTGACAGAAACTGATTTGGAAACATTTTATTTCGCCTCATTTTGTTACTTATATAAATTATCATCATTTGCCCTTAAAATATCAACATTTCCACTAAACTTTATATTTTGGTCAATCTGATTATGTAGTTGTAAACATTGAATGATAATTTTATCAGTTACTTAGTATTTCAGTTGATGTTTTATCAAATACTTTTTACTCTAACATAATTCGTTTTTACTTGATTACAATACTCAGGTTTTATGTTATTTATGCATCTTTTAAGACGTTGGTGTCCAAAATAAATGTTATGTTACTGACCAAACAATAAACTACAGAAGTAATAATTTAATTAATTAAATATCAGATTTGATGTTGGAAACAGTAATGATTTGATTTGTTGCTTTTTCTTTTGGGGTCAACTGAGAGAAAAAAAACTTTAGCCAATTGTGAGCAATAAGAAGAGGATTTGGATCATTCTTGTTTTTAATCAAGGTTAATAAATTGATTAAAAGCTGATTTGGAAGCAGCAAAGCCAGCGTTGGATAAGAACATAAGAAGCTGTTTGAAAACAAATATTTAACTTTAATATTTAAAAACATTTTTGTAAAAGTTACTGCAGCTTTAACGCATTAATTTT